AGATTTGTTATCACAACATATTTTCTTTTGTCAAATCAACTTTATAATAATTTATTTAGTTGAGATAACTTATTGTTTTGAGTTTATGATGGTTAAATTAATCTACTTCATTGTATTAACTCACTTTTTCCAGTTTAAGCAACTTAAAATTTTAAGGCAACCCAGGTTACTTATTTTTTTAAGTTAAACCAACAATTTTTTTTTACAGTGTAGTAATCACAAAACATTTTTTCTTTTGTCAAATCAAATTAAATAATTTATTTAGTTCAGATAACATATAATTTTGAGTTTCTGATGGTTAAATTAATCTCCTTCATTGTATTAACTCACTTTTTCCAGTTCAATCAACTTAAAATTTTAAGGCAACCAGGTTACTTACTTTTTTAAGTTAAACCGTCAATATTTTTTTATGAAGCTCTGATCAGGAATCATTCATAAATCTTTATAGACATATTCAAAGCCATTTTAAAGAACAGAAACTCTAGTGTCCAGTGAGAAAATGCATAAATCCACAGCACAAACGAATAATTGTTGAAGTGAAAGAAATAGCGGGAGTGAATATTTCACAGATTCCTCGGATGTGTGGGTTCTGGCATGTGGAGGAGGGAGCCGGTTTCTCTATGTTTATTTATAAGAGCTCACACAGGATCTGATCCAGTGAACTGAAGCCTCCACAATGTCTGTGAATGTGCTAAAGACACTATAGTTTGTAAGAAACTTTCTTGGTGGCTCAAAGAGATATACGCATGCATGCCAAATGTTATGAAAGACATTTCTCTCTCTGTTTATATGCTGTTATCTGGTTCAGTTTGTGTTGTAGTGACCATATGAAAGTCATCCTGAGGGAACGAGTGACTCTTCTTTTATGATTCTCCTCATTTCTGGGTCAGTGCTGGATCTGAATGCTTGAATGAGTACAGAGCAGTCTGAGTTTAAGAGCCTTCGCTGTTTCTGCTGGAATAGGTGGAATGAAAAATGCAGTAGTCGTCCTTCGCAAGCCATTTTTCTCCTCCATGGCTCATCTAGGTTAATGAGGATGTTGGTTGACGGCGAGTCTAGTTTATGCCATTCCCTCCCTCTTCATCTTGGAGGATGAATTCATGGGCGTTCTCCTCTCATCGATTCTTTGCTGATTAGTGTTGCTTTTTTATTGTTCGAATGGCCCATTGCCATTCACCTCTAGCCACTCTCAGAAAAAAGGGTTCTATATATGTATAGCATAGGGTTCTTTACTCAACTCCAAAGGACATTTTATGCTAAAAAAGGTTCAATAATGACAAGAAAGAACACTTTTGGCAGTTCTTGTTAAAGGTTCTTTAAAGGCTATTATATTACATTATTCTGCAACATTTTTAGTATGTAATTAAATTGTTGTTTATTAAACTGTAGTAGCTTAATTTCACATTTTAATCATGCTAATTTTGGAGGATGAAAACTGAAATGGCTCTCTTCGTCTGATATTGATTAATTAAATTTTTTTAACCGACATATCTTGAATTTTGTGATCATTCACATGCATTGCATTTTAAGGGGGTTCCAAATACGTAGCGCTTTAGAACCTTTTAAGGTTCTATATAGAACCTTTCCTTCTAAGAGTGCATGGTTTTTGGCACAATTCAGCGTCACAAACAGCCAACGCCTTTCTCTAATGGCTGGAGATGCGGATTAAAGAGATAGTAGAGGCCATGATGCTTGTTCTTCTGCCAAGCACATTGAATAAAACAATCTTAATATAAAACCTGCTGTTACAAAAGCAGAATATTTTCCCAGATAAAAAGGAGATGATCAAATAGTTTTGTCATACTGCAAGCAGGAATAAAAATGCTCTTTGAGAGTGTGTACATGAAAACGGACATGAAAATGTACTTCTAAAACAACCAAATAACATAACGCAAAAAATACGTAACGTGTTAAAATAGCCCTCCTCATAGTTCACTTAAGTCCACACTGAAGGAAGTAAGTTAATGATATAATTAAGGGATTCATTGAGTAATGGGCTCTATGCACGGCGGTATTTCCGGTGAAGGTGTAGGGATGCTCGATAACTTGCGCCGATCGTAGAGTCCAATGCAATACCGAGAAATTATATTGAATTTTATACTCCATGGTTATAGTAAAGAAACATTAGTCGCAAAAACAGACACCCCTCGTTGTGTTTATGCTTCTTTTTAAAATTATATTAAATAAACATATCTACATATAAAATTACACCTAAACGTATGAAAGTTTCGTTTCAAAGATGGAAGGACAGTAAATTTTGAAGACTCATAATCCCGTTTTCTTCAGTTTTCCACCGCTTTAATCTCCACAACCGGAAACTAACGAGCATCCTTGCGTCAAATGCGGAGCTTATGCGTGCATATAGCCCATATATAGTGATGAACGCCTGCTGTTAACAAGCAGAATCACTGAAGGGGGGAGTCGCCATTATGGTGATCAGTGTTTGCTTTAGTCAGAGCTCTTTTTCTCTGGTTGTGTTTATAAATTATGACTCAATCTCATTAGCTTTCACACTCTTGAGTGTGGACTCAAATAAACTATGAGGAGAGTTAATTTAACACTGGGGTTTTTGCTGTGCAGGAGAATTATTAAATCACAAAAATTAAATGATATAGGGACGAACTCGATATTTTTGCCCATGACTAAAGCAGCGTGAAAACAGAAAGCTTTAGATTTAAACCAACTGTACCCTGTATTAGTTAGACATCTGTGCATGGCTTGACTATGTGACGTTTATAATACTCTGATGCCTATTCTTGTCTTTGGCTCGTAAGTGTGCTTCTGTTGTTTGTGAAGCAGGTGCCAGTTTATCTTGTGATCTTCCAGGCTTCTGCGTTCCCGTGGAGTGTGTGAGGATTAGGGCGTGTGCCGTGTCGTTCCTCTCTGTCGGATACGACTCCATCACCGCAGGCCCTCCCTCCTCACGGCTCTATGCTGGGAAAGGTTGGGATAATCAGACTCTGGATGACTCCTGAGGAAACACCTGCTGCTCTCTCTTTAATTGAGGATCTCTAATGAGCAGTGGGAGATGGATGGGGTCTCGATCGACACACTCCCTGCACTGGAGGTCACGGTGTTCGGTTTCAGCCTCGGTTTGTGTTGCGTGTTTGATTTAATAATATTCGTGATACGAAGTTGATCATTCAATGTTAGTTTGATTTTTATATTTTCTCAGGAAATTGTAAGTTGCCTTTGCACTTGCAAAAACACTAGCATGTTTTGTTTTTGTGGCCACACTGTTAGACCTTACCAGGTTTTTTACAGTAAAATACTGGCAACACTGTTGCCAGTAATTTACTGTAAAAATGCACTAAAACTCAAGTTAACTAAAAAATACAACTTATTAGTTTTAGTGCATTTTTACAACACTGTTGCCAGTAATTTACTGTAAAATTTCACTAAAACTCAAGTTAACTAAAAATACAACTTATTAGTTTTAGTGCATTTTTACAACAGTGTTGCCAGTATTTTACTGTAAAAAACCTGGTAAGGTCTAACAGTGCATTATTAACTCAAGTAGAGCATTATCACATCCCTCCTCAATAAGCTGTGCATTTGAGGCTTATCAGCAGCATAAAAGCAGCTTATACTGCAAAAAAAATGATATTTTTGTCATTGTCCAGTACAAATCTAAACTCTTTTAAGTAAAGATGCATTGACCTGAGAAGCAAAAAATGACATAAGATATTTAAATGTTTTCTGAAAATGTTTAAATCATAAAATCATGTTGATCTATTTTTCAGGAAAAAAAAAGATTTGTCATTTTGCTTCTCATATAAAAGTATCTTGATTTAAGAATGTTTAGATATTAAGTCATTTCTACATCAAATTCACATTCAATTCAAATGTGTTTCTTGCCTTTTTTTTTTTTTTTCAGTGCCATTTGTGAAATTTACTAGCAATTGCAGATTGAATATTGCCTAAAAGTTATTTTCAGTGTATTGGAAAAACAAGACAAAAAATATTTTTGATGCAGTGTTCAGTTCAATGGTTGAAATTAGCCTTTGGCAGACATTTTTATCCATTGCGTTGTATTTTATGTATCTCCTAAAGGGACGTGGTGATAGAAAAGCGTCAAAGGGGGTAATTAAATGCAAATCAACTTTTATTGGAAAATTCAACAACATTTTATCAAACTTTGATAATTTCCTTAATATTTTAAACAACTGAGAAGATAGTGATCAAACTATATTTTTATTTAAAAAAAACTCCTCTTACGTTATAATGTATATTACATCAGCTTATGAGTCAAATTGGACGACTACAGGGGCTCATCTCAGGATCACTCAACAATTCATCTATTGCTAAACGCAGTTCTTTGTGAGAAAATCCAAAGTTTCTCGGATGAACGCAAAACTTTTTTTGTCCCCTTTTGGGCCTGTTCATGCATTCCCTTAAAAATCAAACTTGTGATATTGGTGTTGCTAGCAACTTGCTACTTTTTGAGATGGAGGAATGCTCATCTTGAAGCTCGTCGAGCATTAAAACACCCTGATTGCATGAAAAAGCAAAACATTTCCATTGGACATATTCAGTGATTTACACAGTGCTTCTAATTGCACACGGCAATCATTCACGGCAATTACCCGCCAGCCTCTTTGGCATCTCCACATGCCCGTTGCTGTGGTAATGGCACAAAACCATCCTCATACCTGCGTTTAGCAGCCAAAGTCTGAAGAACATTAATGCACGCTCATGGCAGACTGGCTCAAATCCAGGCCGGTGCTCCGTCCTAATTCAGTAATCTGTAATACAGCTGGAAGGCTTGCTTTACACACACGCGCAGCCGTGCCACATTAAGCTCCTAAACAATGAGATATTGATTGTGTTTGATGGCAAGCTAGACGTGTGGAATTTATGGCCCTCGTGTTATTGGCTGAGGCTTGTCGCTGTGGTTTTGTGAGTAACGCAGGTATCATAATCCTCCTCTTTAAATGACATGGATGTTGAGCAATTTCTCAGCCCACTGCAGCAGAAAATACCTGCAGATATGGGAGCTGATGGAAAACTAATGGCATTGTCACACAGCGAGCTTGAAGCCTTTGGGGCCGCTCTGGATACGGGTGATGGAGGAGTCGCCTAGGAGAAAGAGGAGTGCGATGTGAAACTGTGTGAGTGAATGACAGTGGACCACCTTGACAGCTTGTTGCTTCGCATCACTGTGTGTTTGTAAGGACAGCCTATTTAAAGTCCCCACTCCTGCAGATGCGTCCCACCAGCCTGTCACGACAGCCGCAGTTTGTATAACCCGCACACACACACACACACACAAGCATCATTCAGATGATGTTTGGGGAGCAAATTATTAAAATTGGCAAGGCTAGTAAAATCATTTTTCAATTCCACGACAGCGTTTCCGGTAACAAGCTCGTTTCTCCAACAAACAGGATTTGTATGCATTTTTTATTTTGTACTTTATTTATTTATTTTTGCATATTTTTTTGCATTATTTACATATTTGCATTATTTTTGCATTTTTATTTTATATTATATTATTTGATGCATTTAATTTTATATTATATTATTTTATGTATTTTTAATTTAATTTTATATTATTTGATGTATTTTTTATTTTATTTAATTATTGTTGGGGTTTTTTTTTTACACTTACAATATCCTCCCAGTTAGCACATTGTAATTAATCAGTTTGTCCAGATGGTGAAGATAAAAAAAAAATGGTTTGCCAAATCATGTCAATAATCATCGGTCACGGTCAGCAATTTTCACAAAAGATCCTGTGCATCATTTTACAATCTCTTATATTAACACGAATCACTATGTTTTCAATACAGTGAATGTTGGTTTTATTACTTCTACTTAAAACTTTAAGTTAATATTTGAGTTTAACTACTTTAAATTATAAGTAGTTTGTTGTTTTGCTTTTTTTTCCACACAAAATCTCTAAATGCATACAAAATGTGCTTAATATGTGCCCCTTTATTAACTGACCTCTTACAGTATGTCTCTAATCACTTCCTGTGTTGACTCCGCCTCTTCCCTTTTGCCAGGTAGGTGTTTAACTAGCTTGTTTTTTCTTTTAAATATTTTCTATATGCATTTGATATGATTTGTCTCAGTTATTGGTCAGTTTTAATATTGTGCCTACTAGTGTTGAACTTTGACCGTTACCTTTATTTGTCCTTCACAGATGTATGAAAGGTGACCATGCATGCATTTAAAGGATTCACTGTTATTTTCCATGAGGTATGTTGATTTTTATTCTTTTTAATCACTGTATTGTTTCATTATCAGCTGTTTTGCAGTAGATTCCAATCGAAATCGATCTTTCTTCATAAAAATGATGATAAAGCCGCATCTATAGACTAAATATCCTAACTTGAGGTGGACCATCCACCCACAGCACGATGTGCTACAGTGACTCACCTTAGATACGGCACTGCATCACCATGGCAACCTCCCACAACTCTCATGAGTCATCATGGCAGAGAGTTTCGCACAGGCAAACGCCACTCACATTTTGCTTCTCAAAGATTACTGACCTGTGAACTGTGCCTGACGTGACATTGGATGCTTCTTTGTTTGCTCCAAGTCATTTAGATAAGTGGTCTTTAATCCATTAATCCTTCAGGATCACAACCTGTCTTTGTTTGCTCTCAGTAACTTACAGCCTACGAAAGTTGATCCAGATTTTCTCTCGTATTTAAGCGTTTCCAGAGCTGGATGTTTTCGAGTGTATCTCTGAAGAGAAATGTCTCAGAATGTCAGGATGAATTATGAATGTCATACTACCATTTTTATGTGACACAGATTAATATGCAACTTTGCTATTCCAAATTTGGCCAGTCACAAAGTCTGAGATTAACATTATAACATGGAGAGCTCTGGCTTTAAAATTGTTTAGTTTTTGTTGCTGAATGAGTCAGTGTTTTTGAACGAATAAGTTGACTCGCTCATAAAGAGAGCATTTGTTCTCGTTTCCTTAGTGAATCAGTATTTTTTAATGACTCTGTTGAATGAGTGATTCAATAACTCGCTTATAAAGATAAGCATTTGTTTTCGTTTCCTTAGTGAATCAGGGTTTTTGAATGAATCGGTTGAATGAATGATTCAATGACTCGCTCATAAAGACAAGCATTTGTTTTCGTTCCTTAGTGAATCAGTGTTTTTGAATGACTTGGTTGAATGAGTGATTCAATAACTCACTTATAAAGATAAGCATTTGTTTTCGTTTCCTTAGTGAATCAGTGTTTTTGAATGAATCGGTTGAATGAATGATTCAATGACTCCCTCATAAAGACAAGCATTTGTTTTCGTTCCTTAGTGAATCAGTGTTTTTGAATGACTCGGTTGAATGAGTGATTCAATAACTCACTTATAAAGATAAGCATTTGTTTTCGTTTCCTTAGTGAATCAGTGTTTTTGAATGACTCGGTTGAATGAGTGATTCAATAACTCACTTATAAAGATAAGCATTTGTTTTCGTTTCCTTAGTGAATCAGGGTTTTTGAATGAATCGGTTGAATGAATGATTCAATGACT